GTTTAGTGGCACCACACCACTGAAAAGTTATGGGCAAGTGTTAGCTTGAAATGCGGTGATATTTCACAAATATTGGAAAATAGTTGTTCGTTTGTTTTTAATATTCTGAGTATACCATACTCATGTGCTAACGTGGAACGAATATAATCGTCAATCATTTCATTGAAAACTAAGCAGCGCAACAAACTCTCTACTGAATCAATTATTGGTCTTCTCCACACAAAAAGACGTATTGAAGATAATAATCAAGCTTGTTATAATTTTAACATTCCCAATTTTTTTTCCTAAATAGCAAGTAAGAAGTGGTAAGGAAATGAATATTTAGCTATTACTTTACCTTGTTATGTTTTAATAATTTATTTTAATAAGTAGCATAAAATACGGTTGTTTTATTTTGCCGAAAAATCTCCCGATTTCTCCCGATTAACACTAGGAAATTTACCTGATCTTTAAAATTTCACTTTTGCAACACTGCTTTTGTCCCCGCGGTATTTTTCGTCCGCCGTAATAAATCGCTTACAACTGCACTGAGTAACGCACATGACGGATTAAAAGTAACGTGTACAAAAAATCCCCCGTACAAACAGGGACACCCTGAGTCCGGACAAGACAAAAGTACACCGGTGTAACTGAAATAAATAGAGCTCATGTGACTAAGCACAGCAACACACACAGTGGACATTAGTCCGCGTTGCGTTCTCGATCTGATAAAGGAATGAATTGAGTATCACTTTTTAAAGGCCTTCTTTTTTTCTAAACTCCATGCTAATTAACCTAATTTGAGTATATTTACTTCCATAGAGTGCGCTTTTCAAAGATTTCTGGGGCAAATTGTTCGCAAATCATTTGCGTTGAGCCCGTGACCATCCCTCGGCAGACGTTTTCTTCACGATTCGAGGAATTTTGTCCTCCGCCTACGCAAGTCATAAGAATAACAAACGCAGCCAAGAACAATGTCAAAACAACAAACCTCTTGATCCTTTTCCATAGAAAATTATCAAGTTTTGTTCACCCAATAAATTGACCGACTATTATAGAAATCACTTAATCCCAGTAACTTAATTCCGCCGGCGACGCTTCAATAGCGATTAAGCTCTATTGCTAATAAATTTATTTAAGACAACACTAGATTTAAGCTTTTTAGATTTGTATTTGTTCCGAATGCTTTGAAATAATTATAAAAAAAAAACTATATTCTTTCCTATGAGCATTCATAAGCATTATATATATGACATCAAACCAATTAAAACTTCACCCAAGATCAACTATGATTATCTGTTGCACGTGATATTGCATCCAATTTAACCCTTAGAGGCTACAACGGTGTTTTTATATCCGGATAATTTAACTTTGTGTTTGTATATTTTTCGTTTTTAACGCAGCACCATGAGATTTCCTTGATTCACATAAGTCAACAATTGCCATCGAAAAGGCGGGGGTAGAGATTGTGCGCGAATACCAGTCCTTAAATACACACGGAACCTAGTGTTTTTTACAAATTGTAGTCATGGTGGGCTACGGGCTTCCAGTATTTGCAATAAACTTTGTATATTTTATTTTTAATATTTGCGCATACTGTACTTTATATATAAAAAGTTACATGACTACAATTTGTAAAAAACACCAGGTTCCGTGTGTATTTAAGGACTGGTATTCGCGCACAATCTCTACCCCCGCCTTTTCGATGGCAACTGTTAACTTATGTGAATCAAAGAAATCTCATGGTGCTGCGTTAAAAACGAAAAATATACAAACACAAAGTAGTATATATATATATATATGTATATGTATATGTATATATAATGTTTATTATTTTTTGTGTGTAAATATATTCACATGCAATTTTTACTTCAGATTTATGTATCAACGGATTGACTAAGAGATAAAAGATACATTTGTGGCATCCTTAGAAAAGTCAGCAGTTGCGACTCAGTAGAAGTCATGATGAAACCTATTTCATTTTAACAGTTTATGCATCTTCTTCATGAACATTCTCCAATAACTTAATTATTATATTAGGGTATTAGAAAAAGATCATGACAAAGACGTACAAAATGTCGACGATGATTAAACTTACGATAATATCAGAAGCTACGTTAGAAATGGAAAATGATGAGGCTCATCCTCTACAAGATAGAAGTTCCCATTAAAATTTCAAAATTTTATATGTTTCTTGAAGATAAAAGATAAATAATATTCCAAATGAAAGACATTTTTGTGATTAGATTTTTTTATTGCAAGTTTTTCCACACCTTCAAAATTACCATAATTAAGAGAACCCTCCTTGTTTCACGCGCCAATTCAATTGTAATTTTGCCAAATATATACCTTAAATCACAGTATCAAAGGGCATGATTCATAATTAAAAGTTAAAAAAAAAAAAATTATTTACACTAAAGCCTATAAGGGTTAACCTACGACATTATTAACTTAATAGGCTAATTAGCGATGAAGGTATTTTCAATGCGTAGTAAATAATGGTTTTTTCTGTAAAAATGTAAACAGGACCATTGTTTAAAATATATACAATAAACATCTCGAATGATAAACTTCACACATACATAAAATATGACTATTGTATTATAATTAATTAACGAGGTAGAAGTGCAACTTGATTTAACAAATGCAAGGTCGCATGAATGAATGCATCGCTCGTCGTAGATTCCCACGGCAAGATGTCGAGTTGTGTTTATGTAGTTTTAATACAATACGACGATATCACAAAATAGAAAGTAGCCGGAAAGACTGCATTCGACATCATCTAAAATAGTAGGTACGATGAGGGAATAAAGTGAACGAAATTATACTAAGCATGAGTTAGATTATCAAAAACTTTATTCACATAAAAAACCTGACTTCATAAGTACAAAATCACTAAAAAGTGAGAAATAATCCATATTATTTATATATATCTACATTTGAAGTTAAATCAACATTTGGAGTCGATGCCATGCCAAACCAATCAGTAAATGGCAACTAATAAATTTGTGTTGTTTGCGCATTTCTCTCAGATGCGTAGACTAATTTTGATAAATAATTTTTGTTTGTATTAGTTTTTTGGCAAGATGGTCCCTTATTAATTTGGTTAGGATCTGATCAGTACTTTTGGAGAAAGAAAGGAACCACATCAACTACAAACAGTACGCAATTCGTGTTTGGTTATTTTAAGAGATATGAAAGATATTATGCAAACGTATTTAGACAACACTAGTGGATATGGATAATGATCTTCAGATCAGCGTACTAAATACGTTTTACTAAATACGTTTAGTTATCTAACCTCTTAAAAGTATAAAATAAAAACTTTTTAAACAAAAATAAAAACCAACTTCATAAAAACAAAATCACTAAAAAGTAAGAAATAATGCATACCACCTATTCTTAACTTACATTTAAAAGTACAAAATAAAAACATTTTTAACAAAAATAAAAACCGACTTCAAAAAACAAAATCACTGAAAATTAAGAGATAATGCATATCTACCTATTCTTGACTTATATTTTACATTTAAAGTCAAACTAACATTTGGAGTGGCAAGATCATCAGATATATCAATGTGCATGGCACCGACTCCAAATATTAATTAAATACGATTGCCTAAGGAGTCGAGTACGCGTTAATTATAAGTACATGTGAACTCATACAGTGTAGATAGCCTGCACCCATTTTTAGGGTTCCGTAGTCCTGACAAGGAACCCTTATAGTTTCATCATGTCCGTTTCTGGTTTAACTTGGAGACTATTAGCACTAGAGAGCTGTAATTTTGTGTAGATATGTATATTGTGGTGATGGAAAAGGAGGATTCACGGGAGCAATGATGACGAGCGGACAGTGTGGAATCAACATTTTGTTAAGATATAGGATACATCTGGTATACTAATTAATGTACATTAACTACGTGCTTAGGGCAAGATACCTAATCTTATTGAGGAAGTGTTATTAACACCCCCCATTGTGTGGGATATCGTTTAATAGGTTCTTTAAAATTACTACGGGGTTTCAAAGACTATTTTTTGAAGTTATACTTCTTTAGGCGCGTTATGAAAAAATGATGAGAGTGAAAATGCTGTTACTTTTGTGTTTACCGCACATAAAGAAAATCTACCAACAAAATAGAAATAGAATCTCTATGGCCTCTATAGAATATAATGGTGAAGGCCTATCAAAAGTATTATTATTAGAACAACGGAACCAAAGCGCGATTCAGGAGACTACAGCGCCATCTCTTGACCATTGGTGTAGTAGAACCAAAAACCACATCTTTATTTTTTGTAATAAAGTAACAGTTATAGGTATTCATATTTATAATAATTATCCACATGTTTTTAGTTTGTATATTCGGAATACGTGTTTGAGTTTCATACAAGTGCAAATCACATTATGTTCTAATAAATTATATTCAGTAGCGATTTTAATTGAATATTTTGATTATTTATTTATTTTTTCAAATTAAAACTGAACTTTATTGATTGTGTCCTTTTCCAGACTTTTTATTAATTTATTGTAATTAATTATTTGAATGCATTAAAAACTAATTTTAAACGATGCGAAAGAAGGATAACTTCTCACGCGCCTACATAAGTACACGCACCCATTCTTTTTATTTAGAGATCCGTTTGTGAAATGTTGAACTTTAAAGTGCATTTTTTGTTAGTGTAGGGCGTTCCCTCCCCCCCCCCATAGAAGATAAAACTATTGGCTTGAAAAATCTTAAAACAATTATGATAATAGTGCTTTTCATGAACTTTTAAGTGAAACTATAACGGTTAAGATAAATTTGTTTAGTTTAGTGAAAGAAAACTTCTTACCTATTGAAAATTCCTTAGAAGAAAACATCAAATCAACCTAGTGAGAGATAGTCAGATAGAGAAACCTTGGAGTCTTAGTAATAGAGTCCAGTTTTTACCCTTTCGGTATCTAAACCCTAAAAAGGATCCGCAGCGACTAATGTGTAAAAATTAATACAATAGGGAGTCGTAATTAAATAATAAGTCCAAATAAAATAAGTGTTTATTGAATTTTTGGGCTTGCACAGTAATATAAAAAATAAATCAGTGGTATTTATTTGTCACAAGAGCTAAACTTAAATTAAAATTAAAATGTTTTTTGTCTATTAAAAGTACCTTAACTATCTAGTAACATAATAATCTACAAACAGAAAACTAATCATCACTTAAACACGTGAATTTTCGTTGCACGTAGGTACTTGCACAGCAATCGATACATTACCAAGGGCATTTGACGTGCTCGTGCGTCTAGAGTAGTACTGTTAGGTACGTACTGTCTATAAGGTTATGCAAACATTTGTATGCTCGCTACACATTGCATTATTATGGTTATTAATTATACATCTAACATATTTCTTTGATTGAAAAAGGCACAAATACAATAATAATATTATCAATAGGAAACATAGCTTCTCTTGTTTGCACAATGTAGCTCGTAGATATTGGCCAATTAGTATCGCCATTCAACAACAGCTCCCATTTCAGCCTCTAGTAATAGATATTTTACATCAAAAAGTACAGACAAATAACTCTGTTACTTTGTCTGAGAATATTATCTTATTTTACTTTAAACTTCGCACCGCAGCAATGACGATTTCTTGTTTTGATCTGTCGAAAATCTAGAAAGTATTAACTTCGGTGCGTTTCGTAGCCTTAATTGAACTTTAGCAATGAAACTGTTTTGATCTTTAGGCAAAACGTCCTTGCATGCTTCAGGGGCATCATACAAAAGCATATGTTTCTGATTAACGTACACATTATTCTGAGTTGTGCGATCCCAATATTTCTTATCGTCAATCGGATTTTCAAAGTTGCTGATAGTTTGCTTTAGAGTATATAAATTACAGGATTTTTTATCCAATTTTACGATTCTATTCTCGAGGTTTTTGACTTTGTCATTCACACCCGTCATGTAAGAATGCGCACTCGTCGTTGTCTCTTTCAAATCGATGAGATCTGTTTTAACTTGCACCATGTCATTTAATAAATTGTTAAGCTTATGTTTTAGTTTCTCGATATCTGCTAAAATATCTTCTAGGTCTACCGGCGTTTGAGTTTCCTCTGGATCATATACACCGCCAATGGGATCATTAATGCAATATTTGCAATTCCATCTAAGTTTAGGTCCATTTCTTTTATATTCTGGAATATTATCTTTATTATGACACGGTTCGTTGAAAACATCTGATTTGCACTTGGTACATGGTGACATTTCGTTTAAATTCGTTTTACAATTTTGACAAGAACACATATCTACTCAAATTGAAAATTGAACGAGCTTGCACTGCAGATAGACTCGAAAAAGTGGGCGCGTTTCACCGCCACTACATCCAAGGGCAAACTGTTCGTGGTGGTAGCAATACAGGTATTATGGTAGCTTTAAAAATAGACTTGTGGTGACGTATGCAGTAATATTAATCAATTTCTTTCTTGTAAACTAGTGGAATACTTTGGCTCAATTAACTTTTTTGCGTTTCCAGAACTACTCGAATAATATGATTAAGATTTTATTTGTGTGTGTTTCTTGATCATTCTTTATAATATATTATAATCATCTTTATGCCATATCCTTACGAGCATTCAATCGCCGACATGGAAACTGTAATTATGCACGTAAATTAATTTGTAATCACTATAACTTATTAAATTATAATGTAAATTAGATCAAACATAGTACTAGTTTTATATTCAGTGTCTTCTCGTATTGACTACTTTTTATCTTCGCTATAAACTAGCCCCGAATCGAATGAACTACTGATAAACTTTCCTCTTTGTTCAGACGTCGATAATGTTAACCGGGACACACAATTACCCTGAGTAGTATAATTAAGGTCTGCAAGAAATAGACATCTCATCCTTTGACGACCTCCGTGGCCGAGTGTTTGTTTGGGTTCGAATCCCGGTGGGGGCAGATGTTTGTCTGATGAATACGAGCATTTGTACTCCAGTCATGGATGTTTCATATGTATTTCTATATAAATATACTTTTATATGTACAATATATGTATTCTATCCGTTACCCTAGCATCCCATAACACAAGCCTTACAGTGCTTACTTTGGGGATAGGCTAATTGGTGTGTGTTAGTTTTTTTTTATCTATTATCTCAAGAAAAAAAACTGTTGTGGCATACTGAAAACCTGGCCAAATGAAGGCCAGGTGGAAGGTCTGCCTTCACGATGTGTTCTTTAGTGCCGGATAAGATGTACATAAGACATTTAATAAACACTTACAGCGATTACTAAAATTGGGAACAAAATAAAAAAAAACCTCAAGTATCGGCTGTTGTACATTACTTTGACTTCTTATTAAATAGAATCAACGACGTACAATGCAGCAACATTAACATTAAAACAGAACCGTTCATTTAACAGATGCGAAGAAAAAAATGTCTCCTAATTTTTTCGATAACCAAAAACTACACTGTGTTTGCTTTCGAAATTGTGTCACTATAGCGGGTATTATTAAATTCTCTCTGAGCGTTATTCTTGAAACCAAATCCTTAACTTAAGTTTATTAAATGAGTAGACAAACTAACGAATACGTTTCTAATGATCGTTCTGTTTGAGTAAACGGAGCTGGCTTTTCTAAGAGTAGTCCTTTGTATCACTTGACACTTTATAAAGAATATTTATATCAACAATCAATATAGATGCTGCAATGAGGTAAGCTGTTAGAATAAATATATAAAGCGTAGGCTTGGTGCATGAATTCATTTCGCTTTTTTGTATAGATACTTTGCGAGAGCAAACATGATAATGAGTAACAATTTGGTGAAATTTTGTATTTGGATAAGGTTTTGGTTTTAAGGTGTACCTCAATTTTTGAATACGTTTATTAGTTATATTTTTACTTTTTGAGCATTTAACTCCTAGATGATTAGATTGTAAAGAAAATTTTAGTAAAAAAAATCCACGCGGACTTTTTTTTACTAAAATTTTCTCGGGACTCGAACTCGCACCCTTTGTTATCCGGGCGAATGCACTGACCATTATGCTACCGTGGCCCTGATGGCCGTGTCGAATTTTCTCTAGTATTACTTAGGCTGTCAGGCAGCGCCATCTCTTCGCATTGTAGGTAACCCTCAATGACAAATGAATACCTCTACAAGTATAAAACATTTGAAAGAAGAAATAGCAATTACTGTTATATTTTTATTTTTAAGCATTTACCTGCTAGATGTTCAAATCTAAAGAAAATTTTACTTGGTGATACAATCCACACGGACCAGGCAGCAGACGGGACTCGAACTCGCACCCTTTGCTATCCGGGCGAATGCACTGACCATTATGCTACCGCGGCCCTGATGGCCGTGTCGAATTTTCTCTAGTATTACTTAGGCTGTCAGGCAGCGCCATCTCTTCGCATTGTAGGTAACCCTCAATGACAAATGAATACCTCTACAAGTATAAAACATTTGAAAGAAGAAATAGCAATTACTGTTATATTTTTATTTTTAAGCATTTACCTGCTAGATGTTCAAATCTAAAGAAAATTTTACTTGGTGATCACATGGTCATGGTAGTCATGGTAGTGGGATAAAGCTCGCACTCCCTCTTTAGATCTGAGACAGAACTTGGGAACCCCATTAGCAGAGCCATTATAATGCTTATAATTTCAATACATTTTATACTCCGATCAAATAAATTATTCTACATTTCATAACAGATTCTAATATTTTCAAAGAGAAACAAGCACTCTCTATGATGCATCGGTACTAAGTTCTTTGGACATAAAATAGAAAATCTTGTTAATTTGTGATACTCAAAGATTGACTTTTTAATGAAAGGCAAAGGGATCTAAGGCGTGATCACATTAGAGATTTTTTTTGTCAAACTTGTTTTCAAAATGGAACGGAATATTCAAAAAAGTATTTGTGTATATTAGGTAGTTTGGATTCGTATATATAATTGAAATTATTCCAACTAATCGATTAAATCTTATAGTTATTGAAAATATTCAAATTACTTTTACAGATTTTACTTTCGCTTTGTCTCTTTTATTTTTTTTTTTAAGATTCGTTATTAAATACGTAATACAGTAGAACATAAATCCCAAGCATGCACAAAACAGTTACCAAAATGGTTGAATTTACAAAACTTCAAGGTAGTGACTTCCTTACCTTAAAGAAACACGTGTTTTTTGGGTTTACGAAAACGTATACGGGGGAAAAATGAAATACAGATAAAAAAATACTACAGCTCATATAATCCAAGTTACACTTTCATTTCATCAACAATGATCACAAAAGTTTCACATCTTCTGTTACGCACCGCATAGAACAATCCGTTGGCATACAACAAAAAACTCAATACACGATTAAAAGTATTAAATTTAAAAATAAAATTACTGGAACAGTATTTTATTAAATTAATAATTATTTACATTAAAATTCGCAAATACAACTGGTATTTACATAATTGTCTTATAACTCGCATCTATTATTTACAAAACTCTAATTTTATCAATCTTAACAACATTTGGTCAATTCTTATTCCAAATAAATAGTTTCATTTTAAATTTCGCTAAATTAGGAAATATATTCGCAGAAGTATTAACTATAGTAGCATTGATGCTAGTAACTGTTAACTTTGAAACAGCCTCTTAGAAAGATAATAATTCTTCTGGAAATATGGATAAATATTCACAAACTATAAAGCGATACTTAACTATTATTGACTAGATCGTTATTAAAAATTATCGCAATGGGGACAATAATTAGGCTATTATTTTTTTATTTTATGCCACAATACTATTGATGAATCAATTGTGCGTTGGGAATCTCTACTGTTCTAATAAAACTAGATTTTCTTCAGCTATTCAACCAACTTATTTATAGTACTAGCTTTGTTTTTGTAATTCTCATTTCTGACAACAATCACTTAAATCAACCACAATATTTTTCATTTTCTTTTAATTTATTTCAATAAGATATACCTTATAATAGTAATGCAGACATCAATTACCGTCTTCAAAAGAACGAAATGTATAAAAAACGATTTAACCACAAAAATATAGCCACCATTTAAAATGTTATATCAGAAAATATTGCTAGAAAAAAATCCACGCGGACTTTTTTTATTTTATTTATTTTTTGCCGAATATTTTCTAGTAATATTTTCTTTAGATTTAAACATCGAGCAGTAACATGCTTAAAATATATAAATTATAATGTTATGCAACTTTGTATAATGAGGGATATTAAAACACGAATGTGGGTTTATCACAGAAGGTGAAGACGAGTGAGATAATAGTATCCTCAAATTCGTGTTTAAATACCTAATTATAAACAGCTGCACACAATATATTGTTTTAAACTTTCATGGTCACTAACATTATAGTAATATAAGTTATTTACGGGATTGTTACCATGTACCTTGTTTTTAGCGAGTTTCCGATATTTCGGCACTGTTGCAAGCGCCATGATCACGGAGTAACTGGCGCTCATGGCGATCATGGCACTGGTGATCATGGCGCTTGCAACAGTGCCGAAATATCGGAAACTCGCTAAAAACAAGGTACATGGTAACAATCCCGTAAATAACTTATATTACTATAGCTGCACACAACACCATCTACACCCATGATATGAATTCGCTATATAAAATTCTTAAAGCATGGGGCATTCTAAGAACTTAAAATTCATGAAAAATTTCAGCGCTGTGGTGGTGAAACGCGCGTGAATTTATTTTTTAACGGTTTTCAGCCTATCGCATTTACTTCAGTTACTCCGTGATCATGGCGCTTGCAACAGTGCCGAAATATCGGAAACTCGCTAAAAACAAGGTACAAGGGTAACAATCCCGTAAATAACTTATATTACTAATAATGTTCGTGACCATGAAAGTTTAAATAATATATAATAAGCTAACTGTTTAAGAATCTTTAATAGAGGTTTTAAAGCACACATTACATCCATATGTAGATTAAAGTATATTTTCTTCTTTAGCTACTGTTTAACGTCCAACTTACTTTTAATAGTTAAGTGCTTTTTGATTTTTAATACATCGAAAATAGCTTTGAAGTCGGCTATTTGTGTTATTTTTTTAAATATTATTTCTGTATCACGATGTTAATAATAGTTACAAAAATTTAATCTTATTCCAATAAAATTTTAACTCTACAATGGAATGGTATATTTTTCTTATTTCTTTGTAAGTAGCATAATAATTCTGTTAGAGCTTCAATTAAGTAAACAAAAGATATAAAGATATTGTTGAGAAGAAATAAGGGACTGTTGTACAGATTTGAGCTCACATGTACACATTAAGTATTTTTTCGTTGTTACAATGTTCAAAATTAATCAAATCATCAAACATGTAAGTGGCAGTTATTACTATGATACTGATATAATTATCTATGACTTGTAAAATCCGAGGTAGTTACAAAAACTAGGGAAATAGGACGATTAAATCATTACTAGGAAATATTAAGGAAATGGTATTTTTTTATTTATTTATGGGATAGGGAATATAATAAAATATGCAAGAATTAATGCCTACATCTCTAAGTTGACCATATCGCTAAATACACTAATTGGTGTTTTGTGTGAGAATGATTATACTATAGGAATAATACGTCTCTTTAATATTCATTCATTTCTAAAAAAAAAACATAAAAAATCGACAATCGGATAGTGATAATTTTATAAGTGGATAAAAGTGTAACAAATAAGTATATTACAGAAGTAATACACAAAACCCGTTATTGGCGTTTAACGCACATACCACTAAAAAGCACCATTATTAAAAAGAAGTTAAAAATCAAATTGTCCATCATCAAAAGTGACGTATGACAATTAGGTACCTAATCTGTTTTGTTTCACAGAAATAAATGCGAATAGTATTTTTATTTAACTTAACTGAAAATGGATTCAAAATAAAATATAACTAGTTTGATACTTTAGATTTTTTTTACTTAAGTACTAATAAATATTTATAAATAGGTAATGCGTAAGATTTCATAGAGGATAAAATTACGAATACATTTTGACTAACATGTCAGAGAAATTTTAAAATGTCGGAGATAGGGACAGAGAGAGTAGTCTATAAAAACTTTAGTAGGGCAAAATAAATTCTAATTAGGTCTTTAATCGTAAGCATGCTTTGAGCATTATTATAACTAGGGAATAAGAAAAAAAGCAAATATGTATTATTTATTTTTTAATTAAGTAAACGTTAATGCCTTCTTAATATTTTCATTGCCTTAATTGAAAAGGGTCGCAACTCGAGATTAATTTAAACTGAGAATGAATACAATAATTTTTCGGGTTACTAAATGAAAACGTACAAAGAAATTGTTCCCATTTCACATCCTCATACATCTAAATAATTCAGATATTTCCTAAATATTATGTTCTCAAATTTAAATTACCTATTTACATAAGTTATTCGGATAATAAAACTGAATTATCGAAATTTTCGTAGTGTTTTAGGCACTATTTAGACAGCCATCAATCTTATGTCTTATACAATACAAAGCTTTTTCCCTAAAATTATTCTTAAAAAATATCTATGATCTACATGTCAATAGGCAGGTAGTAACAGTTTATTTTTTTATTTACCTATAATCTAAATAAAGTGTGTATACAGGATCATATATTTATATCACGAAGTCAAACTTTATAATATTTTGGGAAAAATGATAGTTTGACCTCATACACCTATGTCCAAATAAATAACAAATCATGATAATCAGACTTCAGTGCTAGATCTGTCGAGTGATATTAAATACAAGTATGTGTTATTCCAAATATTTTACCGCTAACTGTTATACATAATTTTAATTAAATAAAGATCTAAACCAACAACAGTTTCAATTGTTGTTCCTATTGAAAATTTACATTTCATTATGGAGTCAAACTCTGAACACTGCTAGTCAATAAATGCGTTCTTCTATGTGTAATCTATTGTATTTACCTAATCCCAATATTGTTGTTACAAACTATTCTATTTCTGTCACATAAAAATCTAGTTAAGCGTTATCTAATTATTTTAGATTTGGTGCTTTAATAGATTCATAATGCGACGTAATATTACTTTTATGTATCCAGAATAAACCTTAGTAAAAACACACGAAGTTTCATATAAAACAGTGTAATTTGGTTCCTCGAACTTCAGGTAAAACGTGAACAGACGTGTAGTACCTATCTAACTATCCTAATGCTGATAATGTATTCAAAATATCTTCTAACGTATCGTCTAAAGCGTCTATTGATAAAGCATCATGTATAATCACAACGACGAGTCCTTTCCGCCTCATTTCATTCACTATCTAAATATCACTAGTAAAACAGTCTGGCACTTCCGAAACTTGGGGAACAGCGAAGAATACTACGGCTGGCCTTTGCTCGCTCCGCGGCGGGGTCCACGGCGCGCCGGAGAAATTATCTCACGTGGCAACACTCATTACATTCACCTCCGTAATAAAATATTGGCAACTTTAGGAGGTGACACCAAAACTGTACATTACCATACACACGCTCATGTTGTTATATTTTTATTTTCGTTTATATGTCACTGCAAAGTGGTTGTCTGTTTGGTCATTTACGACAGTCACTCGTGATTTTGGTTTTTCTAGTTAACTGTTATGACTGTGCAAACAATAAATATCGAGAAGCATGGATTGGTCCAAGTTATGTGTCCCAACATCGCTGTTAGAAAATCAAAATGAAAATCGCTCTGAGCACACGTATAAAAAAGGGTACCAAATACAAGTTGAAAGTTTTGACGCCACCACCGTTAATGATAAATTCGTTATAACAAATCAGTATTTAGCATACGTATTTGTACAATCACACCTCGTTGAGTGGTGCAAATTTCCCGGCGGCCTCGCTGGGTAGTGGAGTTGAAGGGGGGGTCAGAGGAGGGGCGCCGAGTTTCGTCGAGTTCAGCACAGGAGTTCGGAGTTGGAAGGCGGTACTCAGCTGGGTAGGGGGGGCCGAGTATGCGGAGCGGGGCTGGAGGGCTGCGGCGCTGGGGTCGGGGAGTGCGTGGTGGTACTCTCCGGGGCTGAGTGCGTGCGCCCCGCCGGCTGCAGCACTGGACTCGGGGGCCACGCGTGAGTCGTTGACGCTAACGTTCTGAAATCAGAAGACAAAGCTATATAAATATTTGACCTGGGTAAAAAAGCTTTGATAGAAGTTAATAGATTTTAACGTGGCGTTGAACCAATTGATGATTATGAGCATGTTAAAAATATTTATACTTCAATGTAATAGTATAAATACCTGCGCCGCTACTTCTCAGCACTGGCCTATTTATTGTCCCAAAGCAGTGGGGGGAATAAAGTAATATTGGGACGGGTAATGGCGCTTTTTGTAAGCCTATTGAAAAAAAAAATGACTTTTAAAGAGTTTTTACATATACCTGTATACCACAACATACTGTCGTCGAAACATAATTTATAATCTAGCAAGAAAAAAAAAACCAACATTATAAGAAAAGAAATATGAAATCGGTTATGATTTTTCGTTAATAAGTTTTTATTGTTACTTTTTATAAGCCAGTGCAACATCAACATACTAAATATAGATAAAATAAGTAACATAACCATACACGATAGTTGTACTGTTCGTATTTGACGAGTTCCGTTGTTTATCTCCGAAAGTATTTACCAGATCTTCACCAAATTAATATGAGACCATCTCGCTAACAAACTCTTTCAAATAAAAAAGGATCATCAAATCAGTTGGCGTGATGTTGCGTTTTTCTTACATTTATCGCTCACATACTTAATGCAAATTTTAGACTTTTATGGTTTTCTCAAGGATGCCATTGTACACGGGAAGTACTAGCTTTCAAATAAAAGAATTATCAAAATCGGTTCACACAGTCGCAAGTTCAGGTAGAGGTAACAAACATAAACAAAAAAGAAATACAGTCGAATTGAGAACCACCTCCCTTTTTTTAAGTCGGTTGCAGATGCTGAGCTTTTAAATTTGAATGACGAACCTAAGTGAATGTGGGTATTATTAAGTTTTAAAAATAGCAAGTAAGCATTTAATTTTATTTTTCAACTAATATTATATTAACCGCAATTTTATTTGACAGCATTATGAATATATAATATTGAATAATCTGCATTATAAATCAAATCAAGTACAAATTTTACCTGGCATAAGGCGCTATAGAAGACGATGGTGGTGTAGGCACGGCAGCAGTGTCTGGATGTAGAAAATTCTTCCGCTGTTCGGCTCGCTCCCAGCATTGCTGGAGACACCGAGCCATCACGTCTGGCAGACTGTTTACTTGATCCTATAACGATTCAAAGTGATCAATACTTGGAAACAGAAATTGCGATGTTGAAGGAGACAGTGTTATGCCGCGTATCTATAAAATATAAAGATACGATGAGGAAGATCTTTCAAAATACGTTCAAACTTGCTATTGTGATATCACTTATAAGGTGTTATCCAACGTCAAGGTAAAAGAAAAATAGAATAAACAAAAGCTTTCTCGTGAAACACAGAAGACAGTGAAATGCCATTATTTCCCTGTGTTCTTCTCGAAGCTGGAAGTAAGTTTCCCAGAACCGGCATTCCAATGCATTTAAAATTTGTCTTCTCTGAGATGGTCTTACCTGTAGTGTAGTGAGTTTTTCTTCTAAACTAGTCAACCTCTCCTCTATAGTATCTTGTCTCGTGCTCATGTCTGATACTATTTCGTAAACTGTATTCTGCGTCTGTAACAGAAAGGGGTCCTAATATCAATCGTTTTGCAGTTCATCGTTAATTGCAGCTTAAAATCACAAATGTTTTTGTGTAGTCTGTATAGTCAGTGTACATGCTATAAGAATTCTGCCTGTATGAATCAAACTTGTGATTTATGTGGTGTGTGTACGTTTGGATGTCTTTGGTAGTATAGATTTTGGCTTTTATGTCATCACCTGAATCTATTCATCTATCAACGCTAACTCTAAAAATATCATGCTTGACCTAAACTAAATAGTTGTTCATCATGCGCGAAGCGAGTAAGTGATTTGTAGATGATTACATGCCAATTGATAATAAAAATCATATTTGTATAATCTACGTTTAACAAGTCTCTCAATTTCCAATCATAATTCTATAATCTAGCAGCTACAGAACTAAGCGCTATCATTATAAATTTGGTAATTGTAGTGCTTACTAAAAATCTAAATGAAAGTGTCCAAATATGAGTGTAGCTCTAGCAAATATATTAGATTAAGGTCAAACGTACTTTTGCCATGTCTGTTATTGTGTTCGCGTTGTCCATGAGTTTTCTTTGATCCATCTTTACTTTTCGTAATCTGAAATCAAAAGAAGTCATAGTATCACCATGTATACTATGTTTGCCTTATTTATTTGTATACTACAAACTAAATCATCATCATTATCATCATCATCGGACTTGTAATGTCTTCATTGTAGAGGCAAATAGTTCACCTATGGACAGAATCATATCTATAGGGAGAACGACTCTAACCCACTGAGAGGGCTCAGCGTGGATAGCAAAATATCAGTGTCTGCAGATACTCCCATAACTATGGGATTAACGTATCTTCCGAAGCTCTAGATACTAAGTTTTTGATCATCCTTTAGAAGACCATCCACTGTGAAAATTCCTTTACTTGTACGATCACTTGACTTGCTGCGTTTTGCCAACCGTCTGAATATCAAGTTTCAAAAATAGTTCCCATATTTTGTAAACATGATACTTAACGAATATTTGTGACATTTGGTTATATGCACACACTCGAAAAGAATAGGGATAATGACGGGGTAAATACATATCCACATCTCCAAATATATGTCGTCAACGAGAAACCGTGCCAATAACGTTACTAAGGAGTGACGAAACATATCATTTGAATGTTTGTTTTGTATTATAACATGAACAGATACTTTTATTCTTTTATTTATCTCCGATTTATTTTAAATCTCGTTTTTAAATTAAGCAGTTTTGTAAGGATACTGGCCATGCAGTCATAATAAATAGCGTTATATTTTAAGTGTGTGGCAGCGTATTACTCCAACTTAATCACTATGGCAAATGTCAATCACTCCAATCACGCATGATATTCGTGATGAACATATTATACCAAATTATGATGGATTCTTCTTGAAATAAAATAGCCACAAAATGTCTATTTAATGTTATGAAATATGAAGATAATAATTATCACTAATTTAGTTACCTATTGAATAGAATATATTTGATGCTTTGTCAACAAAATACTTGCCATTTTCCAATTAATAACTGTATAATATATATTATAATATTAAAAAAGGGGGATATAATTTATAATTTAGTGCCCTACATCTTATAAAAATTTGGAGTGTACTGGTGCTCACTACCTTCCTTCATTCAAAGTTGAATCGTCTTCTCTTCGAACAGGTTTACAAGTTATGTCAACCGGCACCATTTCACGTTGCCAATGTCGTGACGTGGAGAGGTGCACAGGCACAAAATTAAACGAAATTCTATTGAGTCCTGTCACCGTTCAGTAAGATTATCAAAAAATAAGAGATTTTTTCTTTTGTCAATCGATCTAAAAATTCAAAGATAAAGCGCCTCAATGTTTGGGTTTGGAGGCTCGTGACGTCACTTCTGAGTAAAAATTGTACCAAGACTTGACGTCATGACCCATTTCAAATCAATATATCTCTGTTAAGTTTTGATTATGTTAATAATGAAAAAATACGCGTCCAATGCTTTTTGGTTATCGAGGCGAAGAAAAAAGCTAATCTTAAGAAATGTGTAGTTAAATGCTTAAAAATAAACCTAAAAGGCCAGTTGCCATCAGCCAGTTTGCTAATATGTTAAGGCTTCCTTCAAACAGTGCAGACACAATCCTAAGTGGTTTTTCAACATTAATGACACTAATACATACTTATTTAGAATTATGGGGTTTTAAAATGTTTATTAATATTTAAATGTTTCGCAGAAGTTGAATCTCCATCGAGTTTGAAGCTTTCGTAATACTAATACAAAGTTAGGTAAGTAATATTTTAAAAAAAGGTTAACTGCAAATAAAGATACTTACGCATAAATGGCTAATAGGAATTTTCTTTGGTGTGTTCTAACTCTTCCTGGATGGACTCTTTTCACAAGCCTAGTGTGCTTGTAAATCAACCATGTCTCTCGAAGAACATTGGCTGCAGCGTTTTTCAGCTGGAAGTTTGAACACCATTTCGTTTTAGTATTTACATTATATCTAAATGTTATTTTGCTAATACAGGTAGGAACAGTGAAAAGTGAAATGAACATTATAAATATGGTTTTAGGTATTTTTTGGTTTACTTCATATAAAGTGACTTGAAAAATGTGTAGGATTTAATTGACAGATATGTAAAAATTTTGCTGAACTAACTCTAGAAACCAAATTAGCTTTAATTACAGTTAATGATCTTATTTGGCATAATAAATATAAGTAAGTATTTTATTAAAAGTATAAATAATAAGTGCCTTTTATAAATATTAATTCTAAGACGAGTTTCATGAAGTGAGATGTGCTATTTTGTTGTTTGTTTTGTTTTAGAATACTTGTTTATTATTTAGTTAAACTAAAAGTACCTCTTCCAAAATTCAAAGAAAATTAAATAATGAATGAGTTAACATAGGCTATTGCTTTATTTTTCTATAATAACTTGGTGAATTTGTTCTGCGTAAATTGTCTATCACGAATTTATTAATTTCAAGGAATTATTTCATATTTTCATTTTATTGTTAGACCATGAAGTCTTGTCTCACTAGGAAGTACCTAACATTTTTAAAGACACTTCTAGCGTTTTAACTTTTTTTGGTTAGAGTGATTTGGACTTGTATGACAAACAGGTTAATAAAGAGTAGCGATGAAGTAAATTTCATTTCCTTATAAGCTTAGTAATGGAAGGGGCATCTCCTTAGGAGAAGGTTAGTAAAAAAAATGATGAGCGTGTGTAATTTTATGAATTGCTTTGATTCTAAAATTTGTGTCATAATAATTATTTCGTGGGTATCTCTCAGTGATTAAACAAAAACTAGTTCCTTTTCTATGACTTGCACAAACCTAGCATTTACTGTCTTACCTCTTGATGTCCTTGTCACTCCGATAACAGTGACCTTACCTTTTTCGTGAGTTGTGTTTCCATCATGAAGTTATGCACATGCTTCTCAGCTCTAGTCAACTCTAACTTTCTCGAGGCAACAGTCACTAATAAGGCCGTACATCCTGCTCCCTGTTAATAATATTAACAATAATTGTGATGAACTGAAGCCGCCGCAATACTTACTCTTTTAGTAAGTTGTGTGTCCATCATGAAGTTATGAACGTGCTTCTCAGCTCTAGTTAATTCTAATTTTCTTGAAACAACCGCGACTAATAACGCTGTGCATCCAGCTCCCTGTTAAGTGAATATCTTAATGTAAAATGCAAGCGAACGTGTATAAGCATTCAAGAATTTTGACATTCCAATTAAAAGGCATTATTGAAGGCTAAAAATCAAAAGAAATTGTATTTATCAGCTATGTGCTTTCTTTTAAATATAATACTTTATTTTTATTTTCAACTATACCAAATATGACGATCTCTTTAATGTTAAAATTTCAAGTTATAAATAATGAAGAATATTGTATTAAAGTCTCCGTAAAAAGAGATTGTCATAGTTGACTATATTTTTTAAACTGTCATGTTTATTTATTTAGAAGGCTTATTTTAAATATCTTTTATTTTTCAATCAAAACTTGTTAAAATGGAACTGTCTAAAGTATGACAAACGAATGAAAGTGCAAAAATCGTTATTGTTATTATGATGCACAATGAATTATTGAAAAAAAAAACAACGATATTTCACACTTTGATCGCCAATTTAATGGTTTTACAGCTAAACTTAAATAATTGTGATTATATTTATCTCCATTAAGTGCGTAACTCATCTAATTGGTGCACAATTTAATTTAAACGTTTACTTCCATTTAACATTAAGAACATCTATTGTTTTTATTTATACCAACACTTAACACAAAAAACACTATTTAGGTGCAAAAGATATAATATACACTCTTTTATTTATATTTATTTTAGGAAAAGTGAGCCATTTTAAAAACAAACTTATTGTGCAATTCAGTGAAATATTCAAGTGAAGAAAGAACTAGAAAGAGTTAGGAGAAATGAAGCATTCCATACTACAAAATATATATTTACTAATAGCTGGCTTTAACAGGGAAATGGACGTTGTTATACTTAAAAATCATTGAAGACGGTACTACGTTTCGTGTAATCTTCGATATCCAAAATATCATATCGGCATCAAGAACTACAATTATCTGTTGCGGTAAAAACAAAAAAGAAACAAATTTTTTCAAGTAGTCGTGGTTAAAATGTATCGTATAAAATGTGTTTTACAGAGTGTGTTACATAGAAAGTGATACTTTTAGGTACAATCATGTGATATAAGATTTGCAAAAAACAAAATTGACATTACATACAATTTATTAGTCTTACACATCAAGAAGTTGATAATTTCAACACTGAAACATCGAGAGCTGAGTGAGTTTAGCATTGACTGTCATCAAAGTGTAAAGCGATTTGTTTAGGTGTATGATTGTTGGTTACATTCAGACGTATGTTGACTGACATTGAAATAATTGAAACACCAAAAAAAATTACAGGTAACGTAAAAGCATCCCAACACAAATAACACAATGTTGGCATCCTTTTTTTATGGCAGTATATATGATACTCTATACCGTGCACAGAAAGTGTCAGTCAACACAAGTACGAAATTTGCTTACAAGAACTTACCATGATACCGGTGCTAACAGCTATACCTCTGCCGCAATAAGTGTTTGGCACAATGTCACCAAAACCGACGGAGAGAAACGTAATCGCAATAAGCCACATTGCATTCAGTAGATTAGCGTGTTCTTCGTCGTGAAACCTGGATTGTTAATAAATTTCATAGCTTTACATATCCGACCTGTCCAATATTAAAATTGGACAAAATCAAGCCTAATAGATGTGTGTTCATTCAATGCCTACCTAATAGATACAACATTACAGATATTGATGTTTCATAAGTGTGGAGGGTTACAAATAGTGAATAAAGTAGATATTATATAGATAAATCCAATGCAGAAGAGTTTGACTTTGATTGAAATAAATTGACAATTGCTTCAAACAATAACAATAATTGTAAAGTACACATAAAATGGCTCACCTTTACCGACCTAACAGTATCCACTAGACAGAGCAAGTTTAAGCTAGGTGCTCGTTCATCTACATTTAAAATATACCTATTTCGATTCTTGCAGTGCCTAGTGGTGAATCTATAACGCAAGAACTGTTAAAGTATGGATTGATATCCATCAATCCAAATTATCCTACTGTTCATACATACCACCATACCGCAGGTGAGGGTAATGCCGCGGCCGCAGTAAGTATTCGGGACTATATCGCCGTAGCCAACACAGAGGAAGGTTATAGCTGTCAGCCACATTGAGTTTAGCAAATTGGCATGGTCTTCATCGTGGAACCTGAGAGCCAAAATGCCCAACAAGAACCACAATAACCGTTTGTTATCTCATAGCAGACAATAAGAAACAAAAAAAGCATTTTCCATATAGTCTATATATGATATCATTTGTTTGACGAAACTGAAATCCCCTAATCATGAAGAGTATGTGTCACTACGAACGGAACGACTGTTATATAAGCAGTCGCATAAATCACTATTATTTTTAATAGATACACCAAGCACAGATATGATCCAAACTTCAAACTTTAAATATTGCAACATGCCCATTAAAATTTTTGAACACAATTTTCCTCTACACATTTACTTACTAACACCATCATACTGAACTTTTAAATACAACGTGCATTCTAAACATTGATAGGTTTGAATGTTGGACAATTATTACTTTTAGCCATGCGTGAATCAATTCTTAATTTACCTAAAGGTGAATAGGTTTATGGAAACACAGACAAATATTTATAAGAAAGAAGAGAAGAAACACATAGTGATAGATTTATAAGCATTTTGCTTAAAAGGGAAGAGGTAACTTGTTTGATGCATGAATGTGACACATAGTGCAAGATTTCAGTGCATGTAAATAACTTTTAGCATATAATTAAAAGCTTTCTAAGTGTATGTTTATCTTATATTGTAGAGCCATTTTGTGCGTAAATGCTTGAGCATCACTGTTGATAATATTATTGACATTTAAAAGCATACAGTTAAATTTAGGTACAAATAGCTATACCCGTTTTGATTAATAGTGCTGTTTATTAATTTTATAACCAAGTCATACAATTGCAATTGCAGTATCAGTGCTGTGTTTGAAATACTAGTGAATCACAACAAGCATCCTCTTTAATTGTTACGTCAATTGTCACTACATCTAACATTTAACTAGTAATATTGAGTAGCGGTGTTTTTAATAAGGTATCCTTATAAAGCTACGATTGCGAAAATTCTCAAAGTCAAACTCTTTAAATTTTATTGTGATGATGATGGACCTAGCTTTACTATATAGAATCCTCCGTAATTTTTTAAAACAAAAATATACACAAATTACAGAAACACAAAGTGGGTTGAAAAAGCAATATTATATTTACAACGCCACATCACAACAAAGCAACAGCATGCCCACGTTGGCAGTACACTGGTGAAATACGAATGAAAACATTGAAATACATGTGAAATGTCTGAATAACTAAAACGGTATACATAATAGAAGCTAAAACATTTAGAAAACATAGGTAAATAATGATAGCGGCAAAACTATTTATCAAAACAAATAATTAAAGAATACATAATACCTTAGATTAGACAATAAAAACAATCGATCATAATATAAATAATATACTTATAATGTTTAATAACTTAGCTCTCGCGTTATAATGTCAGTTTACGAGTTATCGATTAAGACGTATAATGATCACATTGATATATTTAAGCTAATACTAACCTTTCACACTGCCTGAGTGTCCAACTGGCGATTATCCATAATGATACCATAAAAACTAATAATACGGTGCCGGGACATATCGTCATGAGCGTCTTCAAAACGAATCTGTAAAATAGTAAAATTTGTTCGTGATATTTCAGGTTAATAGATCTTATTTTTTTAAGTGTATATAATTAGTGTAAATCATGAAACATACAAACGTGTCATTTAATAGCAAAAAAAATATCTGTACGCTGAATGGCGCACCCGCTAGATCTACAGCGCCATCTGGTAAGTACAGTTGTGAACCTAAATTATCCAGAAACCTACTCGAGCATTAACTAATATACATTGGATTATAATCGACCTGAATATTTAGGAGAATTTCAGTAACATAGGTATATGAAAAGGTCAGTAGTGACATAGGTGTTTAAACAAAAACTAAACATTATGTTAAGATCGAGTCACTCGTCTTTTTCATTCATTCATTCATTTTTTTAATTATCGTATATGTTGTATGGTCTGTTAGCGGAGATGGAAGGTATACCGATCATAATTATAGAGAGAAAAGTGGGCGCAGGAAAAAGAGTGTACGGAGTATCGGGAAAATCTTTTAGCAGTAGTAAAAACCTAAGCTAGAAGGGACACCTAACTACACACAACGTGGTGCTGGTCCCAACGCTAAAGTATAGAAGCGAGAGTTGCGTTCATCAGTAGGTACATGAAAGTAAAATAAACTCAGTCGAGATGAGAGCGGTACTTAAAATCTCCGGAGTGATGCTCGCAGACCGCGTTTGTGACATGGAAGTAATATTAATAATAATGATAATAATAATAATAAAGTTATTTATTTTCACTCCAAATTACAAGTATTCCCTCGAAACAATTAGTGGATGCATTCATTGATTTTCTGATATTAAGAAGTAATTGTTGATAGCTGTAATAGTAAAAACTGTGACACAGCTGCCAGCGCCCCCACTCAAAGTCAATTTTAGTAAGAAAGAGAGTCGGTACGATATACAATATCGGTGATAAAATTAACAGATGTATGCTTATTGGTTCGGATGCATAGAAAGAATGGCAAAACAAATAAACATCGTAAAAGTAGAAGAATGCAGTAGCCGGGAAAGGACGAGCTCAACGACTCATCACGATAGAATTGATCGCATTCTGAAGGTAGGTGATGTCAAAAATCACTAAATCAGCAGACGGGTATGAAAAGAGTAACGAATGTGAACGAGGCAAAAGAAGTAAGTACAGACCGTGCCAAATGGTGCTCTATTTTCTCTGCATGCCCTACGTGGAAAAAAACGTGAAGAATTCAAGAGAGGAGATAGATACAGAAATTGAGTTGCATTAAAACTTAGTGTTACAATACTCATTTCATATTATTACTGCCATAGAATTTTCTTTAGAAATGGTTTCATAGATTTTTACCTAGTATTAAAATTAATTCTGTTTAAGGCTCCTATACTCCTTGAAGAAGCATCTGTGAATAGTTTGCTGTGCAGCAACATGACCCTGCATATTAGATAAAGCCGAAAGAACATCGGCAAAGATAACGTGACGTCATACGGCACCTGGAATCAAAAGACATTAAAGATAATTAAATCAAAGAATAAAGTTTCAAAATATTTCTAAATAAAAGTGAAGAGGATTATGGTTGCAAATAGGTCAATATCAATCAATAACAATCATTTTAAATCTTTGAAAGGCAGTTTACTGTAGAACATATTGATAATACAGAAATCAAGTTTCCATAAACTGTATAGATATATTTTTATCTTTAATTCAAATGCATCAAACAGTGTCCACACTTCACACTTAACTTATTGTCCGCTACTGACTGTAAGTAGGCTCTATTTCCCACTTGATTTGCATGCACAATATTGAAATTATGTTTTAGCGTACAATTCGTCACTGTTATAAACAAAATAATGAGCTTGTATTATTAACACTGACGGTGCACGCTTAGTGGGCGTTTATTTAATGAAAAGTTATTGCTATACATGAGCTAACGGTGGACGTAATGCCATAGGCATTCTCTACCAGTCAAACAGTAAGAGTGTCGGAGACTAATGTTGAGTTGTTCGTTGAGATAGGGCAAAGTTACCATAAAAATAAAATAAAATGGAAATTAAGACAATAACGACAATAAAAGTATTAAAACTTATTTTTTTACACATATATTATGTTATTGTTAGTACTACGAATACTTAGTGCTAGAGCATTCTACAGACGTATGGCAGTAACAGTGAAAGATTTGAATTAAAACCCAGAATGATGAATGGGAATTTATACAGTAAGGTAGGCACGAGCGAAGATTGCGTTAATTAAACGGCCCAGAAATTAAAATCTAGATTTCAGGCACTCTGGAGCACGTGGGTCGTATAAAAGGTTGAAAAGCCTGCATAGTAAGCTAAGATTTCTACGTCCGCTGATAGGCAACAACAAAAATATCCCCATTCTCGATCACACTGACAATAAGAGCTTGGACAAGTGCCACTTTTATGCTGAAAAGGAGAAAGTTATTTAGACCACATAGTACTGTAATGTGTGTTGATTACCTTGCGACTAATTGCTTTTACATGTTTTTCTCAGCTAAAAGAAGCATTAATAAGTAAATCTGCTAGCGCCCACGAAGATAAGAAGAGAACCAGGCCCTCGCCGAAGAAGAGAATCCCATATGAGTAAGGATTGCAATGATAATAATATCTTAGTTGACAATATTTAAAGCATTAAAATAAACGATCAGAACCATAACTGTCAACTTTAATTTTGCCATGCCACTACGAACGTCATCAAGGACATTAAGGAGAGCAGTGGTGGTACTATGACCGTATCGAAAACCAGTTAATAAAGGACTAAGCATCTTATGGCGGAAGATAAACGAAAAGAGTTGATTATGTGCAGCACTTTCCTAAATCTTAGAAAAAAAGATAACATTGATATGGGCCGATAATAGCTAAAAGAGGACGGTAAGTTTTTTTTAGAAATAATAATATGTATAGTAAAAAATATCACTGGATAAATGGAAAAGTACTTGAGGAAAGAGAAAAAAAATAGAATAAAAGTTAGACTGTGAAGTATACAATTAAGTAAAATAATAATTATAGTCCTTCCAATATCATACTGCCTTGGATTTTGATTGAAAGCACAATCTTACGATCCCCTCTTCGCTTAGGGGACGAAAGCAAAAATAATAGTTTGCAAAAGGCGTCATGCAAGTTATAGTAGAAACTGTAGAATCGGTAACTCAAGTAGGGAGAAAATTAATGGACTAGAAATTTTTGAAATAAGATATCATGATATGAATAGTAACTGCTTCGCGAAGGAGTTTCCAGTCTATAGTATACGCCTCATATTTTTACGTTTATTCTTATCATGATCGCCGCACTGAAGAATATAACGCGCCGTTATTGTTTTTATTTATTTATTGCATGCCACATTACATATAAGATGGTACATTAAATATTGTTAGGTAAATATGTGACAGCTTGTAAGGGCATAGCAATATCAAGCCACAATTACATTCAGCTATGGTGTCAATCAATGTTCGCGATGTGCTTAGAGTGTATTGGAGAATTTTAATAGTGCTATCCAAACATTATGACGGCTGTGAAGTAAGAAATGAGAGTATCTGTGCGCAGAATTTACTTCAGATAAAACATAGTGAAACCCTGCGTATCAGCGCGCACCTTCGTTTTATTTACTGTGCAGCGACTCGCTAACTTCACAGCTACCATTAAGGTTTGAATCATAATAAAACTAGTAATCCCATGCGCCAGTTCACTCTTAGTCAGCAGCAGACAATTATGTTTGGCGTGAACAATAACTTATATAAAATTAACAGTTTTACCTTGACTTACTGACTTATTTCCTAAAACCTATTTTAGTGTTATGCTGATATAACATGAAAATTCATTCTAAATTTAGGGGTACAAAAATGGTTTACATAAATTAGGTGAATACACAAACATACCCTTATACTAGTAAAACCACTGCTCAGTACATATAAAAATAAATTACTTCCTGATTCCTGTTAATAGAACACTGAATGGGTTGGATATTATCTTAAATTATGAATAATTTAACATTGTTATCATCGTCAATAAGTAATACATTAAACGCACTACACTGTGAACAATCAAATACGTGATATCATAATTCAAACATATTTATTTTTGTCTTATGATTCTTTTAATATAATTAGGTCGCTATAGCTTAGAAAGCAATTTATTGGCATTATTAGCTCACAAAATTAGTATCAAAGAAAAAAAAAGAAGATTAATCTCGTGTTTTTTTACCTTGAATAATAATACCGTTTGAGGAAATATTAACAAAATTTCTGAAACAGCTATTCATTCGTGTTCATATAAACTAACATAACATTCTCCTTGAATCAAAAAGTTTGATAAAGTAAAAAAAACTTTATGTATCAGAAAAATACTTAATATCTCAATTTTAAGGTCTAAGGAATCCAAATGCATTTAAGATCGATAGGACCGCAAAAATATAAAATAATAGAAGGTCAAGTCACTGTCATGAATTTTATTTTTATTAAACTTGGTCATTTATAGTTGACACCAGACCAAAAACAGGAGAAAACATAAGTTGGTTAATTAAAGTATACCACCCACGATAACATAATAAATAAACCCTAAACGACAAAATATGTGGACGACAAACAGAAATTGGCTAATTTTCTGCTTTGCAATTTACATTTCTGAATCTCGAGTTGTTTGATTAGCATCGGGATTAATATTAATGCCAATAGTATAATCAAGTCAGGTTAACTGACCATAACCTAATAAAGCGCTTGTATCCATCATAATAAGTCTACTAGTATTTTTTTTGTACGTCTTACTTTTAAAGTCAATGTTAAGTAGTTACTAAAGCCCATTAACAATATCAGCACCATATTGCGTACTACTTTTGCGTTGGTGGTTCAGGGTGTCGTCGTTAATATGAATACAAAATTTTCTGAATCAAAAGTGACTTTTTTATTTTGTAGTTAATAGTCCCTCAAAAATAATTTCACAAACCATCAAACAAGCATATAGCGACCATGTTTAACAAAACAATACAAATTATTAACAGCAAGACTATTGTAACGTCACTCACAATGCATTTTAAACACAAACTCAGAACATGCTAGGACATGTACACTAACATTACTTAAAATCTTTGAAGTCAATACAGACCTGAATTTGCTTATACATTGTGCCCTAAGGAGAAAACCGAAATAAGAATGTCAGTAAGCAAAATAAGAATATGCAAATTAATAGAAAACAGTTTAGATCCTAAAACGTGCACATTTATTTCACCTCTACATTAAAAATAAACTTTGATAGAAAAATAAGGTCAGGTTGAATTTATCTTAAAAAGCCACAAAGAAATTATTTTTGTAAAACAAACTTATTTTATCCCATTAAAAGGGAAATGATATTGTAATCATTGTAAGACTACTTTATAATGTAGTTTTACTCAGTTTTATTTCCTCATGTTACATGTCACTATTAGTTTTAGAGGTAGACGGGATTCTTCTACTGTCTGATAAAAAGGAGATTAATGGTCTTATTTATAAAGAAACAAAAACATAAGTTAAGCATACACATCATAATCTTTTATACTTTATGGGAACCAAAGCCTTATATAGTAGTTAGATCCTCCTCTTCTCTGGTCTTTTGATTTATATGAAAGCTCGTATTGGAAAGTAAGGAACTGTAGAAATATCATTTTGTTGAAAACGACTTGTTAGACACTTACGACTTCAACTCCTATGACGCCTCCTTTGTTTGCCAGCTTCGTGGTCCAGGTAAAGGTATACTGCCCTGGAATGGGATGGACGGCGCAAATAGCTAGTTCCAGAGTGATTTGTGCTATTCTCTGCCACGTCATTGCTATCCTCCAGTCATCGGCGCAGTTGTCTATCATAAATAACTGAAATTTTAAAGAGCCAAAGTTAGTTATATAATTAGCATAATTCAATAAGAAAATATTTAGGTAATATTATTAAAATTATTCTCACTAATAAACATTACAATTGAGTTTCAAAGTGATCTGATTGTTCGGTTCTCAAGTATTTTGTTATTAGAGATGCCAGTTTAGCAGGAATTGAAAGAAATTTTGAGAGAATACCAACTTAAAGCAATAACAGCAGCTCATTGCGTATAGTTGCTGAAATTCTTCGTCTTACTATATCGTTACCCAAGCTTTCAAAAAAACATCATATAATTTATCAGATTGTTTTAGTTCCTCTGAATCGAGAAGAATTTTATAATTAAAAATTGGACTATCTGTGTTAGGTTCTTACTATACTATTAATAATAGTATATTTATCTTCGTTAATAGAAATACTAAGACTAGTATAATAATTACCTGTACTTCTAAAGCGTGATACGCGACGATTAGGCCAAGTAAAATCACAGTCGACATTGATATAAGCGTCTTCAGCGCCTGGGAGTATATTGATGCCTGAAAAATAATTCAAACAAGAACTTAGTATTACTCTAATACATAGTGTCCGACTTAAGGTGGTCGCACATAGGTCCGCACCGTACGCGCCGCACACGCTTGCTTTAGAATTCGTTGTAGGTAATTATTATGTAGCCTCGCATACTTCCATTAGCAATATACGCGCTACATTTCGTGAAGTCATTAAGAAAATGTGATGCGTTTGGCACGTGCAGCGTGGACGGTATGGACATATCTGCGATCACCTTTCCTTTCGTTTCAACTTCGTTAGGAACTAATAAACAAAATTAATAACGAACAAATTAGCAAAATTCAGTTTCTAGTATTTTTATGCGATATTAATTTTACGGGACAATATTATTCTTAAAGTGTAAGATTTCAAAGCATGAGTAGAGATCTCACAAGAGAAAGGGAGTAAGTAATTCATGCTTCTTTTCGTGAAATCGTAACTATAAAAAGCGTAATAAAAGTGAAAATCAATGTCATAATTATCATAATCTCTATCACATGAGCATACACATTTCATGTAAGTATTATTTTGTAAGAATACTAAAAAGTAAATCATCATGAAATTTAAGATTCGTTTTGCTTAGTCGCCCGCACATAAAGCTAATAAGCTCCCAGAGATCAAGTTTTGACGTGACAACGTCTTAAATTAGGTTGCGGCTGGGAGTCACTTATGAAAAAGTGTAACGCTCGGTAACGTTACGATGAGTCTCTCGTGTTAAGTTTAAGTTTACATGTACAATGTTTTAGTAAACAAAATATATTTCTATAGTTAAAATTTGTGCAATTCTTATTTTCATTCAATTCCTTGTTCCTATTGTGCAATTTAATTATATTCATATCAATAAATATTCTACCGAGAAAAAGACGTTGTCACGTAAAATCTTCGCCCGTAAAACCGACTTTACAGGCAACCATTTTTTTAGTTAATGTCCTTCACATGAATAAAGTAAAAAATAAATTTTATAAAACTAATTCTTCTCATATTAAACATTTTTGTAAATTCTCGAACGAAATTAAAGATATCAATAATAATAAAAAAATACCTTAGTATAAACGCCAGCACTCGACAGTTCATTTTCTATAACCATCATTATAATACCAAACATTCCCATTACTAAAGCGTAATCACTTATTCGTTTTCTCTTTTCAAATAGCGCCTTTCTTCTACCTAATCTGAAATGGAAGAAAAGTAAACTCGTTAAAGAATAAATTGGTATTGCTACAATTAAGAAAACACTAGATTCTGTGAATAAACTTGGCTGTACTAGAATTACAGTATCACAGTAAAATAAGGTTCTACGGGATAGGGGATTGGGTCGGGGCACGCAAGAGTGTAAGTGATATTTTTGATCTCGCAAGCGTCTATAGCAGTGATGGGCAAACTTTTTGAATGGCGGGCCAAAAAATTTATGAAATTTGTAAGGAAGGCCTTTAGGGTTGAAATTAACATATGACTGTTAGTCATATATTACAACTTTTATACCTACTTTTTGACATCCAATCTTCGAAAGTATTTTTTTTCAGACCATATAATATCCAAATAGAAAACCCGTCGGCGGGCCGGATGTGGCCCGCGGGCCGTACTTTGCCCACCACTGGTCTTTAGGATATGGTGACCGCTTACCATCAGGTGGACCTTATGCTTGTTTGCTACAATTTTAAAAGAAAAAAATTGTCTGATGTTATCATTCTTCAAGATCATAATTATCGTTTTTGTTAATTATGAGAATATTTCTCCAGTACGCTAAATTTAAGCAGCAAATTACATACTGAAGTCCAGTCGCAAAATAGTGCGAAAATGCGGCAAAATTGTACCGCTTCTGCCATCTCTGTTTTACTTGTCTGCGCGTAATCTTAACGTTACGCCCTGGAGTTCCGGAACCTTATTTTCTAACAGAATCACAACACCAATATAAGTTACTGTTATTTTATTGTGGAGAACAGTAAGGAACGCAGACGAGCGCTACAATTAGAGGGGAAACCCGCTAAGGTTTGTTTGTTTGCAGTTTCAGCGTAATTAAGTAACATAACATATCAAAACATAATAATAGTTCAAATTAAAAAATGATATCACAATAATTTTCAAAAAATGACGATGTTGAGAACTTTTTATATTAGACTATTAGACCAGGCAACGAAAAATTGTGTTCCAAGCATTTCCCTCTTTACCTGTTTTTGAGCATTCGTTGCCTGGACTATATGTGTTTTTCTATGTTTGTTATTCGAATTAATTTTGATGTTTCTTTGTTTGGCAAGTTACTTCAAAGATAGGTTTCGACTCAATTTTGATGATTTTATTTTATTTTAATTAGGATTTTTTTATCAAAATAATCATGTGACTGCTGCTATAAATTTGGCGAAGATATGATGACGATATTATATTTTTTAAGCATTTAGCTATTTGTTTAAAGCTAAACAAAATTTTGTTTAACTTAATTGGAGGGTGCAGGTTCGAGTCCCGTCTGCTGCCTGGACGACGTGGATTTTTTTCTAGTATTTTTTTCGTTAGATTTAAACGTCTTATGAGTAGATCAATAAGTTATTTTTACAATGACACACTGTATAATTACGCTAATATTATAAATGCGAAAGTTTGTAAGTGTGTGAGTGTGTATGTTTGTTACTCCTTCACGTCTAAATGGCTAGAGCGATTTTAATAAAATTTGGTATGGAGTTAGCTGACACCCTGGACATAGGCTACGTTTTGCCGTGGGAAAATATCCCTAATATACCCCGGGTAACACGGCGGGGCACAGCTAGTATATTATAATTTAATGTAATGTTAAACTTTACAAAAACGAAACCACATAAAATTAAGAAATGCTTATCTTTTTTCAAATTTGAATTACCTACGTTTGAAAATATAATTATTAAGTTTTAACAAAAAAAAAAAACTTTCCATGCCAACAAATTTAAATATCTATTTTCTGTGTTGTATCTGTTAGCCATACTAACATGTTAAATAAAAAAATGTATTAGTTGCAAACGAGAATATATTTCTCGCAAACGTCCCTAATCTTATAAGAGGACTTACGATCAAGACAAATGTAACTTATGAGGTTAGTTTTGTGCTTTTCTAGTTCCTAAAAACCGGCCAAGTACGAGTGAGACTCGCACACGAAGGCCCTAATTTATTATTTTAACGAGCAAAAATATCACAAAATAATCTAGTCGGTTATACGGGGAGCTCACCTTAAATGATTATTATACTTTTTTTAACTATTAATTTTTAAAGTGAATATATAACTTAATATTCTGTGAATAAGTAAAGCGTTTATTTGTTGCCATTTTAAATATCGATCAAAAAAGGGTAAAAAAATCATTGTTGTATGGCTGCCCCACTTAAGTTTTTTTATGTTGTTGTTTAGTATTTGTTGCTAAAGCGGGAATAGAAATACATCGTCTGTGAAAAGTTCAACAGTGTACAACCTAGTGACAGACAGTCAAACGGACGGACAGTGCAGTCTTAGTTATAGGGTTTCGTTTTTACCCTTTGGGTACGGAGCCCTAATAAATTAGGAAATTACTACTTGAGACTTATTTTTCCTTGTTATGTATCACAGAAATTTATTCCCGTGTTAAGTATCTTAATTTAAGTAATAAGTGAATGTGCGAGTTCAGGAGAGATCTGTGCGAAAATTTTTAGGTTAGTGAAGTTTGTGGCGAAAAGGAAAATATACCTAAATACCTATTGTTTAGTGCGCATTCCGCTCATTTAGTCTCTTAAATATTTAGGAAGCAAAAGTAAGAACTATCTAAATTCACTATCAAATAAAACAACTATCTATATTAATATACTGGGAAACTATTTCAATATGCATCGCATGATAACAATATTTTAAGCCCAGGACAGTTTTCGTGTTTACGTCTACAATTTAGAGATTAACGTTATTAATGGGACATCGTACCCAGTCGTCTCTACCTTTGCTCTTCAGAGGACTTGGAAGTGAAATTGCCTTATTTCACCGGAAGGTTAAATAGGAATCATAAGTCAAATGTCACAATGAAGGTCTACTCGGAATCTAGATTAAAGCAGAACAGTAATGATGCCTCTGTGATTAGCCTATAAATTTTAATAGCGATCAACATTCGGAATGATCGAACGACAAAATGGCAAACAAAAGTAAGAGAATATCTTGATAGCCCGAAGATAATAAATAGTCTTTGTTTCCAACTTTCCATTGACTGATCTGTCTTGATGTAACCAGAGGTGCTTTTGTAATATGAGGATATCGAACCAATAAACTTTTACATCGACCAACCTATAACTTATCGCAGGAACTATTGCCAACAATATGTTTTCCCCCTTATTTCGTGTAACAAAAAAGTTAGTACTAAATAGAACACAATGGAAAGTATACAAATTGAAAGGGAAATTATGAAAACATTGGAAATTGCACTTAAATAATTCCGACTGGGCGTACAAAATCGATGCGGCCCTGATGCAAGCTATTTCCGGCCGTTCAAGGCTGTATTAAGGCGGTTAGTCACTATTATAACAGCTTTCCAAGCTGCGTACATTACGCAGGGCTTAAAGAAAGATATTGGGGATAATAATTGTTGAGGTAACATTGAACGAGATATACAGGGTGTTTTGGAAGATGAGTGCAAAGCTTTAAAGGAAAGCTAACAGTGTTACAAATCGCGGCGGACATTTTGAACACGAAAAATAAGTGATTTCAGTTTAAATTTTGTTTTAATTTATTCATCTAAAACATAAAAAAATCTTCCTCAATTAGGATTTCTGGTCTTAGTTTCAACAATTTCTAAGCAATTTGCATATACCTCAAAAGAAAGTACAATAACTGAACATGTTTTTAAAAAGCTTTGAACAAACAAAACACCCTCCGTGTTTTTTTTGTAAGCCTAAGATAAACAGTTTTTTACCATTTTAAAAATTTACGATAATTTTAAATATCTGTAAAAAAATTGTTTGCTGATACAGATGTTTTAAACTTTTTTTCTTAGTTTGCTTTCACATTTGTTTTATGAAATAAATGCTAAAATAATTCATTTATTATGTCAGTTAGCCATTATTTGGAACTAACTGCGTACTTTTAGGTTTTTTTCTTTAAAATCGTTAAAAATTATTAAAAATAAAATGGTCAGACTTCGTATGCCTTAAATGTTTCTAAATGGTCTCTATGAGCTTTCCTTTAAAGCTTTGCACTCATCTTCAAAACACCCTGTATACAATTTTGTCAATTTAAACTTTTCTTTGAATAACGTTAATGAGTAATAATTGCGCCTGTTTATTATACAGGCTGTTACAAAAACACAAATAAAGCTTGAAGGGCGTTGAAGTACATCATATAGGGAGTCTTCTCTAATTTTCTTAAAATATTTGCATGAAGTTTTAACTTTTTATGAAAACAGTTATTTTTAAATCATTAAAATTAAAATATCAAAATATAATATAATATTTATCAAAATAAAAATATCGATCATTTTAAGACCCGGCACTAGTTCGAGGATCATTAAAAATAACTGTTTTTATAAAAAGTTAAAACTTCATGCAAATATTTTAAGAAAAATAGAGAAGATTTTTTTATATGATGTACTTCCACGCTCTTCAAGATTTATTTGTATTTTTGTAACAGCCTGTATTACTATTAATAAATTATTTTTTCAATGGATATTCTGAGCATCTGTTAGACAGTCGATCGGTGCATGCGTTGCGTCTTTATTATGATGCGTTTTCACTTAAGCTCAGACCAGTTCTGAACGAGCAAACATTTGCTCGCTCGGTAAATGGAAACGTCAGATCGGGGGAACGAGTTCATACAACAATGTTTGACTGGACTCAGGGAATGAATGCTCTCTTTTTTTTCAGTCGTCAATGGAAACAGCGCAAAATTGAAAATTTAGAGCATTCCATTTACCGAGCAAACTAATATTTGCTTGCTCCGAACTGCTCTGAGCACTACTAGGTGGATGCGCAGCATTAGAAGTGAGTGAGCTGCGAGATTAATACTACAGCATTGTTGGCAGGACATTTAAGCTTGGACTTATTTTAGTTTTATGGTTTAATTGCTATGGCTTTTTAGTTTTATTGCTAAGGATGTGAATCTGTCATTAGTTTTAATGCAGTTAATTGTTTTGCTTAACAACAAAATCGAGCCTATATATATCATAAAATACGTACGGTAAATATTTTTAATTTGTCATTGATA